CCCCAAAACCCCAAAACCCCAAAACCCCTTGAGGTAAGATAAGTTCTCAGATTGATTTGAAAACTAACTGAATCACAATTTTCAATTAAGATAAGATTAATTAAGAAATAAAATTCAATGGGGAACACTCATTCACTCAATGATAATACTTACTCTCAGCAGGCAGTTTAATACCCCAATCTACTAAAATAATTCTCATTAATCAAGGCTAAGAAATAGATAAAGATCAACATACTCTTTCCAAAATAGTAAGTCTTTGAATCAGATAGTAAAGATAAAAATAAAAGAAATTGAATTAAAACCTTATTTGACAATTTTAGAATGAGATTGAATAACTTTCATTTTACTGCAAATCTTGATCCTACTTATGAATCATAAAGTCAAACACTAGAAAACTTGAAAATTTTGACCGTGAATGACCTATATTTCTTGGCAGAGTAATACATTTTTAGGAATGGGGTATTTGGAAGGAAAATCTTATATCTGGAATCATTCTCCTAGAATGAGGCACTTGATTACTTTTTGACTTAGAGGTCAATGAGCCTCGAATGCCTTTTGGAAAATCAAATTTATGGTCTTGATTTGAAGGCATTCTTTAAAAATGGTAAGTTTACGAATCAATAGTTATCAAATAGCTAAATTGAAAGGAGAAGTGAGCCCTGATAGGAAAGTCAAGAATGGAGTTTCTCTGTCAGATTTTATGATTATTAGAGAACTTGGGAAAGGTGGTTTCTCACGAGTCCAACTAGGTAATATCTTTGCAAATCTTAATATATTTATTAGTCAGAAGCAAGTTCAATGGAAATCTCTATGCTCTTAAAAGCATTAAAAAGGAATTACTTGATACTGAATAAAAGCAAAACTCAGTAGAAGTTGAAAGACAGATTTTGGAGAAAGTAAAAAATAATCATATAATTTTGATGCATCATTACTTCGAGACGGACAATTATTATCATTACATTCTTGATTTCTGTCCAGGTGGGGAACTTTACTTTCATCTTAAAAATCTCAGCAAATTCGATGAGAAATTAGCTAAGTCAATAATAGTTCAATGCATTAAGGGGCTGGAATACCTACATTCATAGAACATTCTTTATTGAGACTTAAAGCCTGAAAATATTCTAATTGATATCAATGGAAAGATAAAATTAACCGATTTTGGCTTGTCAAAGCTTAATTTCACCTAAAGACAAAGAACATTCTCTTTTTGTGGATCACCAGAATATTTATCTCCAGAAATGCTAAGTTACAATATGCAAGTACACCAATTGAAGAATATGAAGTACAATTAAAGTATTGATTACATCTCAGAGTAAGTAGAAGGCTACGGATTTATGATAGATTTTTACAGCTTAGGAGTTCTAATGTATGAGATGCTTGTTGGATTGCCTCCATTTTATGACCCCAACAAAATGAAGATGTTTAATATGATACTCTACAAAGAGCCTAAATTTCCAGGCTCTATGTCTATCAAAGCCAAAGATCTTTTAAGTAGATTGCTGGAGAAAAATCCAAATAAAAGGATAGGAAATTACTAAGGTATTAGGGATATAAAAAGCCATCCGTTCTTTGGAGATATCAATTGGAATAGTGATAATTACAAAGTTTAATTAAAGCCAAGCTTTATATTCTCAAACTTTAAGGCGAACGAGATAGGTTCGTTTTAAACAAGAAAATCAAGCTTTCTTGTGATGGATAGACCCATCAGTACACTAGGAAAGTAAAGTCCTAAAAAGAAAATCAATAATATTTTCAGTGGAAGGAAGCACTCAGACAACTCCATAATGAAAATTAGATCCAAAGATACAACTCCCTAGAAGGAGGAAATACTCATTGAGGAAGTATAAGAAGAGGAAATTCTAAACCCTTCTCATTTGATAGACAACAATCAATTTTTTAGGAGTTCAATTATTGATAAATTTCAGTAAAACCCTTTCGTTTAGCCTATGAAAAGAGATCTCTCTTCCAATTCGATCTACGATCCTTTAGCTCCAATGGAAACCTCTACTTGCAATGTTGTAAGTTAATATGGATCCCCGAACAAAATAAAGATAGCAACTATAGAGGAGGACCCAGAGATTATAGACGATGATGAGATCGAAGTGAGCATGTCTTTGCCTAAGTAATAAGGTGCTTCCAAGGTGTTTACGAGGGAGTATTTCAAACCAAAGGATAAATTCTAAGAGACTAATTTTAGCAACATAAAGATGATTCATTCATCAGACATAAGAAAAGTAAGTTCTAAGAAGAAGCTCAGGTAGCTGCATATGTTTAAAAGCCAGCAGTTCGACTCTTCATCTAATGATGGAGGTAGTGGTATCCAAAAGTAAACTCAAAACAAAACCATGAGTTAATTAAACAGATAAAGATCACTTGAAAGACCTCAAATTATGGAAAGCACTCTTTTCAAAACTTAGTATGACTCAAGGAAGCTTAATTTCTATCAATAAATTCAAGAGCTTTCAGAGCATGGACTAATTTTTTCAAGTAAGTCCATAAGTAAAAAGTGCTCACCAAAGAGATTCAGACTGAGTTAGAATAGCATTGACTTGTCGAGATGCAATGATGATTTTCCTCTATCAGATAATCTAAGAGATTCAATTACTAAAACCCATCTTAATGATAATAGCAATAATAGAGAAACTAATCTATTTAATTTCAAAATTTAGCCCCAATAGATGAGTATATTGCATACCTCATCATTTGATGAAGACAAGCTAACAGCAAGAAGCATTCATTAGAGAAGATTAGTTACCTAGGTTGAAGAATAACACCATAATAAGTCTCTGCTTAATACCGATTCGGATTCTTATAGAGAGACTATGCAAGACAATAATTATATTAGCAAGAGGAGTAATAGCTCTGCCAACTACAACTAAGTTAAAAAGACCTAAGAAGAACTTACTCAGAAATTTAAAGCTTTGGGAGTGACAAAGAAAATACCATAGTTTTTTGGGGTTGAGAAAAAGAATCCTAAAGTTTTTGGAGACCATACAAATTCACTAAATAAGAGCAAGACATAGCTAAATTAATCTATGAAGCCTTAAAATTTCAAGCACTTTATTGTTAGACCATAGCTATAAAAATCCGCTACATAGAATGTTAGTGATGAAAACATTAAAGATACCCTTGATTCAGACAAAATGGGGATGAGTACTTCATTTAACGATAATAGCACTAAATCCAAAGCTTATTCTACAAAGACAATTTAGATTAACCTGCTTTAATGCTAAAAGAAAATATCGTGCCAACAATAAAATGCTAAGAATGTCATTGAGAGACCATAATCCTCTTCATATTAAATCAAGAATACAAAGCATCAAACAAGTGAACAGTATACTAAGATAATTGAGTATATCCAAAAACCTTAAATGTCCAATTCTAGTCAGTAAAGTATCAGAGAAGATGAAAAGACAAGGAATATGAGTCTGAAAAGACCTATAATATCAACACTTAATATAAATAATCTGAGTGAGACAACAAAAAGAATCATTGATCAAGTAGAATAGTTAAATAGCATGCAGCCAATTATATCTAAGTAGTATTAGCATTAGCAGCAGCTATAGTAGCTATAAACTTTCCAATAATAACCTTCTTAATAAATGAATCTAAATCAGCATTTAAAGCAAATGAATGCATACGGTAGGAAGAATTCAATAATGACTCCGTCATCTCAGGTTTAAGCGAAAAATAGTGCGAATACAGCACTAAATAAAAGTTTGAATAGACAAGCAAAGCCATAAAAAAGCTACCACACAAATACAACAAACATTAATGTTTTATCACCTAGGACTGCCATGCCTAATTGATATTTATAAGTTCAATACTAAAATTATATCTCTAATCTGCTTGGTGATTATTAGAATGCATCAATAGCAAATAAATAAGATATTTACTTGATGCCCTCTGAAACCCAAGTTAGAGCTTAATAAAAGCAGTGAAATTATTGAATTTTAAGTTAATTCTTGATTAAATTAAGTAACTATTGTTTAATTTTCCATTCATTGTCTCCACATTCCTCTTTAATATCACAATGAAGCACTGCTTTACGCAAAAATTTTATTCTTAAAAACCATCAGTCCTTCCTTCTCTTCCTTCATTCTAATATACTCGTCGAATTCAGCTTTAACTCTCAAGAAGTCCTCTCCTTTGTAAGTCTTCTCAATGACATCTTCAGGCTTTGTGTCGAATGGACCTGCTTCTCTGCCCTTTGTTCTGTTGATATAGGTTAGATTGCTTCTATCTGGTTTTGGAATCAAGGCTCCAGACTTCTTTGCTACTCTCACCTTTGAACCATCTTCCAAGAAACCATAGGTAATTCTTGTAGGCTTTCCAGTCTCTGGGTCAATCAAGGAAACATTTGAAAGATGAATAGGACCCTCTTATTACACAGTCTTTTTTCTTTGAACATACTCATCATCTGTGATTCTTTTGTATTTCTAAAAAGTCTATTAAGTTATTCAAAATTACCAAGTTAACTCCTTGAACTATTACAGTATTAGTCTTTCTGTTGACTGAAATAACCTTTCCTTGAGATTTCTTGTATTTTCCAGCAATAACTTCAACCTGAATAACATATTAGAGTCATAGAATCTTACGAAATCATCTCTAACAATATTCCACTTTTTAATATCATCTTGCTTAGTCTTATAGGTGCTAAAGTATCTCATCTAGTTCATAAGTCCCATTTGATTGAAGACCAATTATTGCTGAGATCTTGGCATTAGGAGAGATAAAGGTGTTTTCTTGTATAATATGTTCATCATTTTATTCTATAATAATTATTATTTGCGATTATAATTAAAATTGAGTCTTCTGGGGTTTTGGGGTTTTGGGGTTTTGGGGTTTTGGGG